ACACAATGGTCTGGTAATAAACAAGAGGCAATTACAATTCTTTTGTATTTATTTAAGTGCACTTTGTGGACCAGCATGTGGTCTATTTTGGAGAAAATTCTGTGTGCTCCTGAGAAGAATGTGTACACTGTTGTAGTAGAGTAGAGCAGTCATATGTTAAAGGGTATGGCTCAACTCTGAAATTTCTTTATTGATTTTTTTTTTGTTTAGCTGATCTATCTCTTTGCAAAAGTGTAGTGTTGAAGTCACCTACTACAACTACGTACTATGTTTATTTGATCTTTTATGTCCAGCAGTATTTGGGGTTTTTTAATGTTTTTAAAATGTATTTATTTGATACAGGGTCTTGCTACATAGTTCAAACTCCTAGTAATCCTCCTCTCTCAGCCTCCCCAGTGCTGGGATTACAGGCATGTGCCACGATGCCCAGTTTCAGGGCCAGCACGGTGTGTCCAGGCTTCTGGTGATGGCTTAGCATATGGTACTGGGATGGAACTTGGAAACTTGCACTTGCCAGGCAGGCACTTAGACCATCAAACTATCTCCACAGCCCTGAGTTTGTTTTTCAATGCATACATCTTTGTAAATGTTATCTCTTTTTGTTGGATTGTCTCAACCAGAATGTAGTCATCTTCTTTGTCTCACCTGATCATCTTTGCGAGTAAAATTACTCCCCCTGCTTGTTTTGGGAGTCCTAGTTCATGGAATATTGTTTTCCATCCTTTAATCTTTTTGGTTAAATGAGTTTCTTGAATGAAGCAGACTTTTTGGGTTCTGTTTTATGAGCCTGTCTGCCAAGCTATATCTCAATTCATTAGCTATTAATATTAAAAGTTTGTGTTGAGATATCTGCTAAAATTTAATGGGTTTACCTTTAACATAATTTTTTGCTTTTCTCTGACAGCTTTTAAAATTCTCATTTTTTATTGATATTTTAATTATAATGTGCTGTGGGGGCTTCTTTTTTCATCATGGTTGGTGTCCCATAAAGCTCACTTACTTGTGTGTTGACCTTTTTCCTCATATTTGGAATTTTTTCTATTATAATTTCTTGAACAAATTTATTATTCCATGTGTGCTGTTTTCTAGTTTCTCTCTAACTCCAACTGGCTTTAGTTTGGTCTTCATAGTGTCTTCTAATAGTGGTTAGATACATTTTTTTCTTGTTCTTTTAATGTTTTTAAGGTTTCTCTGAGTAATTCATTATAATTTACCCTTTTTTTCTCCTTGATTTCACAAACCTTGTCTTCACATTGATCATTTCCTCAATTTATGAATTTTATACAATTCCTTATATCTGGAATCTTTGTCTGATATCTTTTCATAGATTCTATATCTTTTGCAAGTTTGTCATTCATATTTTGAGTTATTTTGATCAGATTTTCCTATTTCTTATTTTCCCCATACCCACATTTTTTTATTTTGTATGATAATTTCATAAATCTTTTGGTCATGTCCTCTTTGAATTCACCATGTTATTTGTTTTAAATTCTTCCTTAATAAATTCATAAAGCAACACTACTTGGTATTTGCTTTTCTATCAGTGCCCCTGGATTGGCCTTGTGAGAGTTGAGAGACCAAGAGGTCTTTCTTTGCCTTGTTTTCTTCTCTCTCTCTCTCTCTCTCTCTCTCTCTCTCTCTCTCTCTCTCCCTTCCTCCCTCCCTCTCTCTCTGATGTTACATACATACAAACACATGCGTTTTCCCCCTTCTTAGATTCTAATGATTAAGTTCAAGTGGAGTGAGGAGAGGTAATAATTGATATGAATATCTTTTTTAGTAAGATACTGCATTGCCTTTCAGTGTTGTGTTCTCAGCTTTATTTGCCCAAAGACTATTCAAAAAAGATAGTATGTGTTCCTTTTGCAATTTCATTTAAATGTTCAGACTTTGTCTGTGTGTTTTGGGGAAAGAATTACTTTTTGTTATGGTAGCCTCAACAGATCCAATCATACACCGGCTATCCATGATAAACCTTGCATTTGCACGCTCACCCTTTATCAACACTCTCCCAGTCTATATTCAATTATTATTAGCAGTTACTCTGCAGTGTGGAAGGTAATGGACAGAAGAGATGGAGGGGTGTCTACCAGATGAGTGTAAGTTGGTAGGGGAGAACTGGGTAGGAGAAATAATAATAGCTGGAAAAAACACATAGGGTTTTATTCTGCTGGAGGCCCTTTGGTTGGATTTAAGGATTAGTGCTAAGGGTTTTAAGAAACACATAGGGTTTTATTCTGCTGGAGGCCCTTTGGTTGGATTTAAGGATTAGTGCTAAGGGGTGTGAGGACAAAATATGAAGAGGGAGGTGGACTTGGTGAGTGAGGAAAGGTATGAGGTTACTTGAACTAGGTATACCTGTGCAACTGTAGAATAGAAAAGAGGCAAGGGAAGATGAGGCTACCTAAGAATGAACAAGAAGAATATACAGGGAGGACAGAAGTTGATGTAATAGAAGATAGGAGAGACAGCAGAATATGGCAAAGTCAGAACTTGAAAGGAAGAATTTTAAAAGTGGGAGAAACTAGTAAAAAATAAGAAAACAGTATTGCTACAGAAGCCTGAACTTAAAAGATATGATAGGGAGCACAAAAAGGGAGAAAAAATAAAACACCAATGAAAACAAAACAAAACCAACATCCCCAAAATAAAAAAAACCTAGGGGGAAAAAATCCGATCCAGTGGGGCTTCACATCAAATACACAAATAAGAAAAAGTACATGCAACTCACACATGACAACCATGCAGAAAACCCTGAGGGTTCACACAGTTCCCTTCTTGGATTAGCTACAGTCTGATGACAGGCAGCCACAGCACATTCCCTTGCACTCAAACCCATTAAAACCCATTCTCAAGAAGTCCCTCGTCCAACTTGCAGGCAGAATCTGATCCTGGCCTGGGCTTGGCTTTGGGACTCTTCTCCATCCCACAGAAGATGGTGGCATCTATAAGTAGGTAGACTCATGGCTGGAGGCCTGCAGAGTCAGCCAGTGTGCTCCCACTGTGGCCAGGGTAACCAGGAATACACGACTGTGTTCACATCCTGATGTGCTCACAAGTGTAAGACCTCAGGACACAGCAGGCAGTTCCAGTTCCCTCACTCTCAAGCAGCATCCACAGAGTCCATGGCAGGACTGTGCACCTGCAGAAATCCATAGACTATGTTTGCTTTTATATCATTCAGCTTGTTGGCAGAATTCCTTTGCTTTCCCTTCCATGGCTAAGGACTCCTCTCTTTATTGGGTTTTCACAGCTAGAAGCCACCTAAGGTCCCCATAGTTCCCCACCACATGGAATTCTTACAGACCCTTGCCTAGCCCCTCTTAACAGCATGTCAGCTTCCTTCCTCTGGGCCAGCAGGAGAACCTCTCTGTTCAGCAAAGACTGAGTCTTACATAATGTCATATCTTCATGGAAGTGACATCCTGTCACCTTTGCCAAATTCTCTTGACTAAAACCAAGCAAGTCACAGCCCCCAAGGGGAAGGAATTGCACATGGCTCATTTGGGAGACACCTTAGGAGGTGTATCCTGTGGATGCTCTAGTAGGCTGAACAATGTCTTCCAGAGGTACCAGGTCTTGGCCAGTGGATCCAGTGAATGGTGCCTTATATGAGAAAAAGAGTCTCTTTAGGTATAATTAATATCAGGATCTTGAGTTAGCAGGATTATCCTGGGTTATCTGAGGTAGATTAATGCAATCATGTGTGTCTTTATAAGAAGGAGGCAGAGGGAGGTTAGATACATATATATGTGAAGATGGAGCTTGAAGGTCATAGCTTTGAACAAAGTTTGGTACAATATAGCCATGGCCAAGGAATGCTGGCAACCACTAGAAGTGAGGAGCTGGGCCTTGTGGCACATGCCTGTAATTCCAGCACTCAGGAGCCTGAATGAGGAAGACTGCTGCAAATTTAAGGCCAGCCTGAAAGTAAGTTCAAGGTCAGCCTGAACTGTATGGTGAAACTCTGCCTCAAAAAGACTAGGGGAAGAAAGAGACAGAGACAGATACAGAGACAGACAGACAGAGAAAGAAAGAGGAGTAAAGGTACATATTCTTCTAGAACCTCCACAGGGAGTCCAGCTTGGTTGACACCATGATTCAGACCTGATTTTGCTGTTTAAAGATATAGAACTGGAAGACAGTAGTTTCAGTTGGGGCCTACTTTGTGGTAATTTTTTTACAGCATCCACAAGACACTAATACAAATAAGTTTTAAATGTTATTTTTTAAATGTATTTCACTGTTATCAGTGATGCTAAATATCCTTTCCAATGGTTACTGACTTTAGATGTCTCCCTGTGTGAGTTTCCAATTCAGATCTATTGTATTTTTGCATTCTCTTTCTTAGGTTAGTATGTGTTCTTTACAGTCTAATTGCTAATCCTATGTCAGGTATTCATGTTACTAAAGAAGATAATTCATAGCTTGTCTTTTTACTTTGTTTGTGGTAGATTACTTGTTTTCAACTTTTTAAATTATGGGATATTTTAAACTCAAAAGAAGAGACTAGTACATATCTTCCATATGCACATTATTCAGCTTCAACAATGACTCTCTTTTCTCCCTAGAAGTACCTGTTTTTCCCTTTAAGATTTGTAATTTGTATCCATTATCTTAAAAATACTTGAAGACTGTCTTGTAATTATTTGTGTGGCTGAATAGTTTGTCGTAATAATGCCCATTCCTTGTCACTTTTACTGTTATGTAAGTGTTGTATAGAACAATATAAATATTGTCGAAAGACTAGGAGCATCAGGGCTGATCTGTACTTCTTCCAAAGCAGCCTGGCTTTCTCCAGTGAGCACAACTGTGGGGTCAGATCTTGGAACTCACCACTTGTCCCAGCAACATCACACATATTACAAAGAGTTTGTTAAAAAGCCTGTGTATCCTTACAACAAGACAAATCATGCAGGAATTGTCAAAAAATAAGTCTGAGTCTGATTTACTGGTGGTGGTATTTTTACTAATTCTTTTTTTTTTTTTCTAATGTCTAGTGTGCCATGTGGGCATGAAGGTATGAAAAAACAACACCTTTTCAACAAGATAATGGCAAAACTTCTAGAAAATTACAATACCCTATTTGAAGCAGAATATACAAAAAATGATAAACAGAGATATGACAAACAAGCCAGGCTCATTGTAGTAAAAGTAAGTATCTTTGATATTTAACTTTTAGTATTGATATAATTGTGGTGGAAGATTTTATTTCAATTCTAAAATCACATATGGGTATAACTTTAGGTACATTGAGTTCTTTTGATATCTAGTCTATCAAATATTTATTGAGTTGGTACATATAGTCCAAGATTAAGAATCATAATAGTGATGTTATTTTTGCTTATTGCGATAAAACATTCCCCAGAGTGCTCACGTGAACCCAGTACTCTGATCATTTAAACACAGTGCACTGTCTTTCAAAACCTGATGTTACAGCAGAGGTATTGCATACAATTGTGTTCAAGAGAGTTAGCTTAGTGCTGCCAATTCCTAAAGGCAGAAATATCCTTTTTGTCTCTCTTGTTTGTGTCTGGCACATTTTCAAGTCAAACTTGGATTTTAAGTCCTATATACGTGTTCTGGGCAACTATCATAAGTAAAGGAGCATTTTTAAATCCCCATAATGGAGTGCATAATAATATTATCTACATCATTTTATATATTGACCAATAATTCATAACATATCCTTTACATATTAAATAAATGCATGTAGGTTTCTAAGGCCTTGCATTTGAAAGTCAAAGGATAAATATCCAAACTAAATCCTCCAAAGTAAGAGAGACAGGCATCTTGTTTCTCTCTCTCTCTCATCTATGTTGAGGTAAATTGTGATGGAGCTGATACAAAAGATGTCCTTGGAGTGCTTTCTGAGACTTAGAGATTTACAGACCACATGGAACTCTTGTTGATTCATATTACAGTGAATGACAGACCCAGAGGTACTTGGTTTGGCCATGGAAAAGGGATGCTTTTATCTTTTCATTCAGTTGATGCTATAGTTGCAAAATAAAAGATAATGGGTGTGAAGTATCACTCTCCCAAATCAAGAACAGAAAAGCCAAACTAGCCCCTCTTAATTAGGGCTTGTACTATTACCACACAAAACTTCCTACAAGGTATAAAGTCCTTCTCCAGAGAACAGAGAGGAATGCACTTGGCAGGTGCGTTGTCAACACCATAGAGCTTTAAACTGACATTTGAAGTGAAGAGAGAACAGTGCTCAGATAAAATGATAAAATGACATAATTGGTAAGTAGCAGCTATAACCTCAATTGGGGTCAATACAATAGTTGAAAAAGTGTGGCAGGCCAGTAAGATAGCTCAGCAGTCTAAAGTACCTGCTTAGGCAAGCTTAGGCAAGTGTGCAGGGACCATGGTTCAATCCCCAGCATGACCACATGCCATGCCAGCCCCATCCTGCCCCCAAGGTGGGCTGAGCCAGCCAAAAAGAAAAAAATGTGCCAATTATTTATAAGAGAGAGTTAAAAAAAACCCTCAGCTTTGCCACAGAAAAATTATCTTTCAGTAGAAAAAAGTCTCCTTTAAGTTTGCCCCTCTGATGTCTGTAATACTTTGCACAGGGCCTCTTTTTCAAATATTAAGAGGTGGTTGACTTTGTTTCATCTAAATCTGTAAGAAGCAAGAATGATAAACTGCAAGCCTTTATATTGAAGTGGATGCCACTTGAACATACACTCATAAGTGAAATAAACCAGACACACATGTGTAAATATCATATAGTCTCCCTAGTATAAGAACTCCGAAGAAGAAATACAAATAGAAAGATATAATACAAGGAAAGGGAAAGCAGGATCTCAAGGACTAACTAATCAAGAGAGGG